GTTTGTCGTACTGTGGCGGCTTGTGTGTTGCTGTGATGTTGGAAGCTATGCCACCAGAACTTCAAATACCAGCAGGGTTACCCATGGTGGGCAGGTTTCAGTGGAGCTTCCAGACTAAAACAGACTAGGAACAAGGACCTGGCAGTTTACTTCTGAAAAAATTGGCCAGTGAAAACCTTATGAATAGCAGCAGAACACTGTCTGATATAGTTCCAGAAGATGAGCCTCTCAGGTTGGAAGGCACTCAAAATGCAATTAGGGAAGAGCTGCCTCCTCAAAGTAGAGTCGACCTTAATGACATGGATGGAGTTAAGCCTTCGGGACCTTCATTTGCTGATGTGGCATGACTCAAAATGAGAAGAAACAGCTGCAAACATTCATTAATGATCAGAACATGAATCTACCAAGTATGAATCTAGGAAAACTGGAAGTCATCAAAAATGAAATGGAACACATAAAGATTGATATCCTAGGCATTCGTGAACTGAAATGGACTGGTGTTGGCCATTCTGAATCGGACAATCATATGTCTACTATGCCGGGAATGACAAACTGAAAGGAATGGCTTCACATTCATCATCAAAAAGTACATTTCAAAATCTACCCTGAAGTACAATGCTGTCACTGATACGATAATATCCATATACCTGAAAGGAAGACCAGTTAATACAACTAACAGTCAAGTTTACATACCAACCACCAATGCCAAAGAGGGAGAAATTGAAGTTTTTGGCCAACTTCTGCAGTCTGAAATTGATTAAACATGCAACCAAGAAGCACTGATAATTTCTGGTGACTGAAATGCAAAAGCTGGAAACAAAGAAGGAGGTTTAGTGGTCGGAAAATACAGCCTTGGGGAAAGAAACAACGCTGGAGACCCCATGACAGAATTTTGCAACACGATGACTTATTCACTGCAAGGTATCTTTTTTCAACAGTGTAAACAGCGACTATACACTTGGACTTTGCCAGACAGAATACACAGGAATCAAATCAACTACATCTCTGGAAAGAGACGATGGAGAAGCTCAGTATCATCAGTCAGAACAAGGCCGGTGGCCGACTGCTGAACAGACCATCAATTGCTCATATGCAAGTTCAAACTGAAGCTGAAGAAAATTAAAACAAGTCCACGAGAGCCAAAGCACGACCTTGAGTATAAAACCAAACCAAAACCTGTGTTGTCATCGAATTGATTCCAACTCCTAGTGACCCTACAGGGCAGAGTAGAACTGCCACATAGGGTTTTCAAGGATCAGCTGGTGGATTTGAACTGCCAGCCTTTTAGTTAGCAGTCAAGCTCATAACCACTGTGCAACCGGGGAGACCATATCAAGAATAGATTTGACACACTGAACATTAATGACCAAAAACCAGGCAAGTTGTGGGATGACATCAAGGACGTCATACATGAAGAAAGCAAAAGGTCAATAAAAAGAAAGAAAAGACCAAAATGGATGCCAGAAGAGACTCTGAAACTTGCTCTGGAATGTAGAGCAGCTACAGCAAATGGAAGAAATGATGAAGAGCTGAAAGGAAGATTTCAAAGGGTGGCTCAAAAAGACAAAGTAAAGTACCATAATGAAATGTGCAAAGACCTGGAGTTAGAAAACCAAAAGGGATGAACACACTCGGCATTTCTAAAGATGAAAGAACTGAAGAAAAAAAACTCTAGCCTCCCATTGCAATACTGAAGGATTCTGTGGGCAAAATATTGAACAGGAAGCATCAGAACAAGATGGAAGGAATACACAGTCACAGTACCAAAGAACTGGTCAACGTTCAACCATTTCAGGAGATAGCATACAATCAAGAACCGATGGTACTAAAGGAAGAAGTCCAAGCAGCACTGAAGGCATTGGTGAAAAACAAGGCTCCAGGAATTGATGGAATACCAACTGAGAAGTTTCAACAAAAGGATGCACTGCTGGAGGTGCTCGCGCGTCTATGCCAAGAAATTTGGAAGACAGCTACCTGGCAAAATGACTAGAAGAGATCCATATTTCTGCCCCTTCCAAAGAAAGGTGATCCAACCAAATGCAGAAATTATCAAATAATATCATTAATATCAGATGCAAGTAAACTTTTGCTGACGATAACTCAAAAACGGTTGCGGCAGTACATCCACTGGGAACTGCCAGAAATTCAAGCCGGATTCAGAAGAGGACGTGGAATGAGGGATATCACTGCTGATGTCCAGATGGATCTTGGCTGAAAGCAGAGAATACCAGAAAGATGTTTACCTGTGTTTTACTGACTATGCAAAGGCACTTGACTGTGTACATCATCACAAATTATGGACAACACTGCAAAGAATGGGAATTCTAGAACACTTAACTGTGCTCATGAGGAACCTGTACATAGACCAAGAGGCAGTCATTCGAACAGAACAATGGGATACTGCGTGGTTTAAAATCAGGAAAGGTGTGTATCAAGGTTGTATTCTCTCACTATACTTATTCAGTCTGTATACTGAGCAAATAATCCAAGAAACTGGAGTATATGAGGAACGCATTATCAAGATTGGAGGAAGACTCATTAACAACCTGCAATATGCAGATGACACAACCTTGCTTACTGAAAGTGAGGAGGACTTGAAGCACTTACTGATGAAGATCAAAGACTACAGCCTTCAGTATGGATTACACCTCAACATAAAGAAAAAAATTCTCACAACTGGACCAGTAAGCAACATCACGATAAACAGAGAAAAAACTGAAATTGTCAAGGATTTTATTTTACTTGGATCCACAATCACTGCCCTTGGAAGCAGCAGTCAAGAAACGAAACGACATATTATCGCATTGGGCAAATCTGCTGCAAAAGACTTCTTTAAAGTGTTATAAAGCAAAGATGTCACTTTGAAGACTAAGGTGCACCTGTCCCAAGCCATGGTATTTTCAATCACCTCATGTGAGGGTGAATGCTGGACAAGGAATAAGGAAGACTGAAAAAGAACTGATGCCTTTGCATTATGGTGTTGGTGAAAAATAGTGAACATCATGGACTGCCAGAAGAATGAACAAATCTGTCTTGGAAGGAGTACAACCAGAATGCTTCTTAGAAGGGAGGATGGCAAGACTTCATCTCGCGTACTTTGGACATGTTATCAGGAGGGACCAGTCCCTAGAGAAGGGCTTCATGCTTCGTAAAGTAGAGGGTCAGTGAAAAAGAAGAAGACTGGATTGACACAGTGGCTGCAACAATGGGCTCAAACACAGCAACGACTGTGAGGATGGCACAGGACGGGGTAGTGTTTCATCCTGTTGTACACGGGGTTGCTATGAGTCGGAACCGACGGCACCTAACAACAATCTTTACAGGAGCAGATCACCATGTCTTTCTCCCACAGAGCTGCTGGATGGGTTTCAACCACCAACCTTTCAATTAGCAGCCAAGTGCTTAACCATTGCACCACCAGGGTTCCTGACTCACTTCCAACTAATGGAAAAAAAGCAGCTGTTGTTGTCTAGTGGCACCAAGTCGACTGATTCCAACTCATCGCGACACCATGTGTTACAGAGTAGAACTGCTCCGTAGGGTTTTCTTGGCTGCCATCTTTACGGAAGCAGATCACCAGTCCTTCTCTTCCAGTGTGTCACTGGGTGAGTTAGAACCGCCAACCTTTTGGTTACCAGCTTAGAGCAAATCATTTGCACCACATGCAACTTCAGAGACTAGGTCATAAAAGGCATTGTGGCTTCCTTCTTGCTCTCTCTCGAATCACCTGCTCTGGGAGAAGCCAGCTGCCATGTCACCCTATGGTCCCCGCAGTCAGCCATCCTTAAGCCTAGGGGTGACACCGTCAGCACCACCTACCCTCGGGAGCATGCACCTAGGGAACAGGTCCACACTGGCCATGAATGCAGGCCGGAGCCACGTGGGCAGGGAATTACAGAGTCCCAGGTGCTAGGCAGTGGGCTAGGGCGGGTGCATAGGCTCGAAACACACATCCATTTGTCTGCCGTCTAACCTTCCTGCCTCATGGGGAAGATACGGCCAGAGGGGCCCAGAGTAAAGCCCAGGATGGGGTAAGAGCAGAGCCAGCACTAGAGACAAGGGCGTCCTATGCCCCAGTGTCTGCTTCCCCACCCACCCAACCCCACCAAAGTGAAGAGATGACATTTGTCCTACACACTACAATTTACAAAGCACCTTCGCATGTAATATTCTTAATCAATCCTCACAACCTTCTAGGATTATACGATAGTTTATAGATGAGGAAGCCGAACTGGAAGCGACTTGCCTGAAGTCAAACAATAAAAAGTAAGCACTGCCAGGTCTCCAGTGGAGGACTTTCCCTCCAAGGGCCAAAGTTCATGTTATTTCCACTACTCAATACTACCATGCATCCCCCGCAGCTCTTCCAGGGAGTTGGTGGGTCTGCAAAGGAACTGGAAATTGTAATATGTAGCTGAAATGTTTTACCAAAAGACCAGAGGCAGGGAAGGAAATTTAACACCAAATACAGAGCAGTTTCTGGGAAAGAGCCAGGGCCCAGAGCAAAAATCATCACTGGGACAAAGAATACTATATAGCGGTAGCAATCCTGAGTCTTGGGGGTTCCATTCCCACCCTAAACCACAAAATAAGGGTCTTTAACACATTTAAGCAATCTCCACCCAAATTCCACACTGATTATATGGGGGGCCTGGCTCCACAGCCCTCCCTTTTCTTCACCGCCCGGCTGAAAATACTTTATTAATGAGAGGGCGGCATAAAGCCACGGGACGCCCTGTGCCCAGGACCAGCCCCAGGGAGAGCAGGCTGGCACCAGCCCCAGGTGAAGTCCGACCCTTCCCCAGCAAGGACCCGCTAAGACTATGCCTCCCTTTAATTACCAGGGTGCCTGACCCAGGGCCTGGCCAGTTATTTAGAGAACCAGCCCCTGCTCCTAGCACAGATGTCCGTGAGGCTGCAGACACTCTGCTCAAAGCCAGAGGTCTGAGGCCGCCACCTCCTCACCCTGCCAGCTCGGCACCCCCCCACTCACCAGCATCATGTCGCTCGCACACACGGCTGCAGAGTACATGCTCTCAGACGCCCTGCTGCCCAGCTACAGGGGCCCCCACCTCAAAGGACTGCGCCTGGAGCTGCCCCTGGACCGGATGGTCAAGTTCGTAGCTGTGGGCTTCCCCCTGCTGCTGATGTCCCTCGCATTTGCCCAGGAATTCTCCTCCGGTAAGTTGCTTCCAAGACCCAGGACAAAGGAGAGTCCCAGTTAGCTCACTCTGCGTGGGCCCTGAAGTGCGCTCCCACAGGGACTGGGTTTCCCGACTTGTGGCTGGCTGCATTACCCAAAAGGCCGGCTCTGTGTGTGTTTAGAGCACCAAAAAAGTCTTGAAAGTCAGCTCCAAACTTTTGCAATCAGAAAAAAACTTAGAAATATGCTCTTTTAATTTCAGTATTCATGTTTATGTCATTTCAATAATTAAAATTTTATTCTGCTTTTCTTACGGGTGAGAGATTGGAGCACCATAATCTTTTCAGAACCTAGAACCCCTAAAGGTCTTAACCAGGCCATGCTTTAGACAAGTGGCTTGCTTCTGATCCCTCTTGCCACTCCTCACAAGGGTTACAGATCTGAGTACCTGTGTTAAGTGCCTGACAAAACCGGCATACAACAGGGGCTGGATAAATGCATTCCTTCTCTCCACAAATCCCAGCCACACACATAAACATACACACTGATCCTATGTTTTAGGTTCTAGGCTAACTCAGCAAATCCACTACTGGTATTAAAGAGAAGATAGACTTCCTAAGAACTGGGGATTCTGGCTTTCCTTTCTGCTGTGCTGTTAGCTACTATGTTTTCCAGGAGGTGTCTCAATCTCCCACTGCCTCTTCCTTCATCCACAAGATGGGAGAAGTACTGGTTCTCACCTCTGCCTCTTTCTGGAGAACAAAGGGAAGACCAAAGCCAGAGTCTCTCCCTCCAAGCCCACTTTTCTCTCATCACCACTCGCCCGCCCTTTCTCCCAACCTGGGCTCTGAAATCCAGGCAATAAATCCTCTAGATTTTAGACCAGAAGATCCCAGCTCTCAGGAAGGAGGCAGTGACCAGGACCCGTGAGCCCTCTGGTGCCACACGGCAGGAGTACCAACAGCACCCCCTACCCACCTGCCTGGGGGCCCGGAGAGAACTTGGAAAGAACAGAACTGCCACACCTAGAAGGCTGACAGCACATTAGCAGGCCTGGGGCAAACAGTAGTAGTCCCTGGGTGAACAGACAGCTAGGCACTCAACCACTAACCAAACGACTGGCAGTTCAAATCCACCAGAGGTGCCTCCGAAGAAAGGCTTAGGGATCTACTTCCAAAAGGTCACGGCCATTGAAAACCCTGTAAGTGCAGTCCTACTCTGAAACACACGGGGCCACCGTAAGTCGGAATTGAGTCGATGGCAATGGTTTTTGTTGCTCTGTCTGGTTTTTGTTTGGGGGGGGAGGGGGGGCAAACAGAGGGATGCTGTTCCATCATGCCATGTCCTGCTCTGGCACAGCAGTGCAAAACCAGAACACTGGGGCACGGTAGGGGTGCAGTGCTTGCCAGATATAGAAGCTGGCTAAGAGGGGAGGTGCGGCCCCTAGAAAACTCTCAGCTGACTGCTCCCTGAGCTCCCATCCTCCACTCAACTCACAGCTGCCTCAAAGCTGCATTCCTGTTCCAGGGTCTCCCATCAGCTGCTTTTCTCCCAGTAACTTCAGTGTCCGGCAGGCTGCCTACGTGGACAGCTCCTGCTGGGATTCGCTGGTTCACCACGAGCAGGATGAGCAGGGCCAGTACCAGACGAAGTCGCTCTGGCCTCACAAGGTAAAGTGGGCTGGCCCGTGGCTGAGTGGAGTGGGATGGAACTGCATCATCACATTCTCTAGCTCCTCTTTTTGTCCGTTTATTTTGGTCTCTGACTTTCGTATGTCAGGCATCGTCAAATGTCTGGTGATCTTCACACCTCACTGGAAGCTTTGCACTATGGGTGAGGCTTATTGACCAGCAGCCTCCAGTTTACGGTGATCCTTTTGGGCCCTCTCATTGGGAAAACCTCAAATATCAGTCTCTGCAGGCCTTTTCTCATGGGCTGGCCAGTTTTCCCCGAGAAGAGTCTTTAATTTGTGAGGAGGCAGGGTGCAGCTGGTATTAAGCATGGCTGCCAACCCTCAGGTCCTCAGCTACAGCCTCACCATGCAGTATCCGTTCACTGAGCCCCGCTGTTCTCAGTACGGTTCCCTTGCCCTCAGTGGATCCAAGAGCACAGTCTCTCTGGTTTAATCTCTCCAGAGGGAAAGGGGAGTCGCTTAACTGCATCATGTTACAGAAAGGACTGGGAGTCTGTTTCTCACAGATTTTTCACACAATTTTCCAGCTTTCAGCGCCACCTACACTCTCACTTTCCAAGTTCCTGGTATCTCCAAATGGAGCCCTGGAGGTGCAGCGGTTAAGAGCTCAGCTGCTAACCAAAAGGTTGGCTGTTTGAATCCACCAGCCGCTCCTCAGAAACCCTATGGGGCAGCTCCACTCTGCCTTACAGGGTTGCTATGAGTCGGAATCGACTTGACGGCAATGGATTTTTGTTTGTTTTGGTGGTAGATCCAATTTCTAGTTCTGTGATGCAAAGGAGCTTGCTTGCCTCACGGCGACTCCCAAACCTCCCTACAGGCTGATATCTTCTTTCATGCAACTGCTTCCCCTTTTCAACCATGTGTTGCCCTCATTTCCTCTCCTGTTCTTTCCTTATAGGATTATGTCTTTTTTATTCCTTTCTTGTCATTCTAGTGTGGTTTTACGAAGGAGCAGAGGTAATATGTATGTTCAATGCACAATGTTTCACCAGAAGTCACTCATAACATTTTCTAGTCATGACGATTTACAAGGCCTCAAAATGCGAATTATGACAAAACCAGAGATGTAATGGAAACAGTAAATGAGGTCTCTGTCACAGAAAGTGTTCAAGCAGAATCTAGGTGACAATATCTTAAACAAAATGAAGAGGGGATTTACGTGTCAGAGAAGAAAATTTGTGTCTCATCATCAGAATCACCTGAGAAACTCTTGAACAAGCTTGTCTAGCTCTCCCCGGGGTGGACCAACCAGTGAGCACGGTGTGCACCGGCTTGCATTGAGCAAGGTACGCAGGGGCTTAATTGTATTTCCTAGCTAATCTATGGTGAGCAGTTTCACATGGGTTCACCACATCGTTGCCGTGGTGGAGGACAGGTGAAAGTGTGCACTGCAGATTGGTGGGAAGGCACAATGCACCCGTGCATACCTTGCTTATTGGGTAATCGCGCCCTGACTTCAACCCTGAAAACTGAACAGAATCCCTGGCAGGTAAGAGGTGTACTTTAAAGGATCATGGACAGGAGTACAAAGTGTCTACGCATCTCCCGTGGCCTGGTGTACCTTTCCTAACTTCCTCTCTCCGTTCCAAAAATACACACACCACCTTTCTCCTCTATCCAGCTGCAATCAATACGCGTCCTGCCTCTTCTTCTTCACACACTGCTCTACCACGGCGGTGCACCCGATTTCAGAAGCTGTAGGTCAAGTAGTCATAAAAGGAGTAAGCTCCAAAGGCAGCAGCCTAGTTCCAAATGCTGGCTCTCCCAACAACTAAATGTGTGACCTTATACAGGTTAATCTTTTCATGCTGCAGTTTCCCTACCTGTGAAATAGGGATACTAACGACCATCCTGATGAAGACCAAATGAAATAACACATGCTAAGCACGTAGCATAAACGTAGACTTTAAAAAGCCTTTACAATAGACTTCTTTACTGTGGTCAAAATAGTGGACCCAACCCTCTTAAGTAAGGTAAGCATGATGGGGAAATAGAAGGAAAAGTCCTTTATCTCAGGTAGCTAGTGCTGTAGTTGAGGAGACAAGGCATATACGCACCCAAAAGTCAGCTTATACACACACACCTAAGAGAGCCCTGAAAGAACTCCAAGGCAGTACCTGACGGGGTGGTTTGGCTCACCAATAGTCCAGAGATGAGGGAAGACCGCTGAGCATCAGGAGTCAGGGAAGGCTACACGGAGAAGGGATGTGACCTCCTCTCTAGAGGCTTAAAGTAAAGACCTACAGTGCTGGAGCCCTGAATGGGCATTACAAGCTAAGGGGAGACGCTCTCCACTAGGATTCATTCTCGTTCTTCCCTCCCTCCTATCCCCCCACCTTCTCCCTGGAGCCCTACACAGACCCTGGATCAGACAAGTGGAGCTCAGGAACGTGGAGATCCACCATCCTCCTCTCCCAGCCTCCCTAAATGATCTAGGTCAGCAGAGGGCCTTAGGTCCTGGGCCTGTGGTAGCTCATGTCCCACAATGCCTTCCCTTTCTGCAGCAGTAACTGGGGAAGGGGAGGCCCTCGCTCAGAGGTCTCTCCACATGTCTCAGCTCACTCTCCCCCTGCAGGCCCTGCCCTACTCCCTGCTGGCCCTGGCCGTGGTCATGTACCTGCCAGCCCTGCTGTGGCAATACGCAGCTGTGCCAGCCCTCAGCTCAGATCTGCTGTTCATCATCAGTGAACTGGACAAATCCTACAACCGCTCCATCCGCCTGGTACAGCACATGGTGAAGATCCGGCAGAAGAGCTCCGACCCCCACGTCTTCTGGGATGAGCTGGAGAAGTGAGTTGTCTCTTTCACTCCTTTCTGAAGGACTCAGTCCAAACATTAAAACTGTATCCCTACGGAGTCCTCTTTAAATTATCCTGTGTCACACTTCTCACGAGTACAAAGTGCTCTGTATATCATCTCGCTAACTTTCTATTATTCCCCTGAAGAGAGAAGGGAAAGTCCTCTGTCTGTAGTTTAAGACACACTGAGTAACAAAGGGATTAATCTCTATAACACCACTTTCTTGTATCAATCCCCTGCTCAGAAACCTCAAATACCTCCCCTCATGCCTGCAGAAAAATTCTCCCAAATATTTTTCCAAGGCCCTCAGCACACTGTCACAAACCACCTTTTCAAACTTTTCTCTCACTACCAGGTGACGGAAACCTTCCACTCTACCTAGGCAGTCCCCTGCTGTTTCCCTATACAAGTCACTTAATCATTCATCCATCATTTGCTGAAGTACCTACTGTGTGTACCAGGCACTCGCCTGATGATCTGGATACATTGGGGGAGGGAACGGAGCCCAGGCGGTGCAATGGTTAAGAGCTCGGCTGCTAACCAAAAGGTCGGCAGTTCAAATCTACCAGCCACTCCTTGGAAATCCCATGGGGCGGTTCCACTCTGTTCTACAGGGTCGCTGTGAGTCGGAACCGACTTGACAGCACCTAACAACAGTGTGTGTGTGCCGGGGGTAAGGGAGAGAAATGGAGGTGTGGAGACAAACACACACCAACCAATGTGCAGCTCACACTCTACGGAGGGAAAAGGGCAGTAAAGAAGAAGATGGTAAGTGGTGTGAAAATGGTGAGCCAAGCAGGGCAGGGCAGGAGAGCTGGGGGGTTGCAGAGCAGAGCAGCTTTAAGTAGGGCGGCCAGGGTAGGTCTACCGTGTGGATATCTGGGCAGAGTTCAAGCCATACTGTGTCTTATGTCTGTGCACACACTCCGTCCTGTCCTCTCTCCACCTTTCTGACCCTCATCTACCTTCTGAAGCCCAGCTCACAGCCAACGTTCTCCACGAGGTTTCTGAACACTCCAGCCCACACTGTTACCTCTGCCTCCTACGTTTTGCAGCTACTTTGGTTTGTGGTCATCATTTTAGAAACAAATCAAATGCTATTATTTCATATTTGTATTTCTCATCTGCCCCTTCCCAACAAGCCAGATGAAATTTCTTCAGAGAATACCACAGCTCTCAGCAAATACTTGTTTGTAGATTTATTTTTATGAAATGAATGAATTTTCTGTGTAAATAGAGTACACAAGCCCAGAACCAGAACGCAGTTATTTAAAACTCCCAGCCCAGTGCTAATTTAAGAAGCCTTACTGCATCTAAGGAGCCTATTTCAGCTTAGAGGCTTAGTCTGCCTTGCTGAGCAGAGATTCAGTGTGACCATTCATTACCATGAATAACTCACTGGGTTTACCGCACTGCACTTAGTACGTGGGGACGACAAGTTATGCTCAGAGAAAGTAGATTTTCATGGTAGCCAAGGATGCCACATTGGACACACAGATCCTCTGTCACTTCCCCACACGGTCCCTCCTAACCTTGCCTCCTTTCTCCCCCCGCCCAGGGCTCGTAAAGAACGATACTTCGAATTCCCCCTGCTGGAGCGCTACCTGGCGTGTAAGCAGCGCTCCCATTCACTAGTGGCCACCTACCTCCTGAGGAACACCCTCCTGCTCCTCATCACCTCAGCCACCTTCCTGTACCTTGGCCACTTCCACCTGGATGTCTTCTTCCAAGAGGAATTCAGCTGTTCCATCAAGGGAGGGTTTTTAAGCAATGAGGCCCACGTCCCCGATCTGATCACGTGCAGGCTGACTTTCCTGTCTGTTTTCCAGACTGTTAGCTTCTCCAGTGTAGCGGCATACACCCTACTGGTCCCAGTGATACTATACAACCTCACCCGGCTATGCAGGTGGGACAAACGCCTCCTGTCCGTCTATGAGATGCTCCCGGCTTTTGATCTCCTCAGCAGGAAGATGCTGGGATGCCCCGTCAATGACCTCAACGTGATCCTTCTTTTCCTCCGAGCCAACATCTCCGAGCTCCTCTCTTTTAGCTGGTTGAGTGTCGTATGCGTGTTAAAGGACACAACCAGCCAGAAGCACAACATTGACACAGTGGTCGATTTCATGACTTTACTAGCTGGCTTAGAGCCCTCAAAACCTAAACATCTCACCCACCGGGTATGTGAAGAACACCCATAGCTAAGGAAGCATGGAGCAAAAACATTATGGAAAGTAAAAACCTCTCTCTCCTTCCTCTCAAGCCTTACATATTAATCCACAAAAAGGCCTACTTTAGAACAGCTAAGCTTGGACTCAGCTGAATCATATATCCTGTATTACGTCATCCTACAGGTGAGACGATATCGAGAAATAGAAACAAATCTGAAAGTTGGAGCTGAAGAGTCAAAGAACTACAAATGCAGGTCTAGACACACTGAATAAGGATAGTTTAAAAACAAATCGATCAATAAAAAATAAGGCCTAGACATTCTACAAGGAAAGAAAGGTCTAGAGGCAGGTCCCTCTCACCGTATTTATCCCATGGCCCTTCTAGGATGCCCCTCAGCTCACCCCAAAGAGCAAGCCGGGCAATCTGGTAAGAGAACAGTAAAGATGTGAAACCCCTGGAAACTCCAACGTGCCTGAAGTCCTAGGGACCTGCCCAGCCTGCCCTGTGGAGGTCATCGACCTTGCCCAGGCCCTCTGGGACCTGCAAGGAGACCCAGGAGATAATGACGGCAGCAATCTGTAATCTGCTCTTGGAGCTAAAAGACAGAGTAGAACGAGGCCAGGCCCAGGCATCAGCCATGGCTGGAGCCTTGAGGTGTCCACCTATAGTTTTCAGAAGTCCTGGTGGTGCAACAGTTAAGCGCTCAGTGGCTAATGGAAAGGGTGGCAGTTCGAACCCACCCAGCCACTCCGCAGAAGAAAGACCTGGAGATCTGCTCCTGTAAAGATTACAGTCTAGAAAACCCTATGGGGAAGTTCTACTCTTGTCACATGAGGTTGCTATGAGCTGCAAATTGACCTGATGGCTCCTGACGACAACAAACCGAGGACTCGCTTCCCCAGGGGCTGGGGTTAGGGGCTGGCTGTGGACTCCTTCACAACTCTGAATGAAACCAGGTATGTCTTTAATACCCCAGGGGATGCTGACCCCCACTTAGAGCCCATCAGTGACTAGCAGCCACTCAGAACTAAACATGATCCACGGTAAAGTAATCTTGAGCCCTTTCTCCCTCATCCCTGACTTGTCAACCTAGTTCTCCTTCCTGTGCCTGCATTTGGCAGAACCTTGATATGACTCCAAAGCCACGCTCAGTCCACAATACCACGCTGTCTCACATTTTGTATTTCTTTGTACAGTTGCACATGATGTATTTCTTTAGGGAATTTTTGCATGAGCCATTTAGACCCTTCTTTATAAAGACAGGAGCCCTGGTGGTGCAGTGGTTAAGAGCTACAGCTGCTAACCAACAGGTCAGCAGTTCGAATCTACCAACTGCTCCCTGGAAACCCTATGGGACAGTTCTACTCTGCCCTGTAGGGTTGCTATGAGTCGGAATTGACTCGACGGCAATGGGTTTTTGGTTTTATAAAGTAAAAAAAAAGTTATGGTAGTTCTGACAATTTCAGGTAAGTTTACCTAAAGCAAGCAAGAGGCTGATGTATAGACACTCATCGATGTCTTCCTGTTGTCACTGGGTAAAAGTCCAAAAGATGCCTCCCGATTCAAACGCTGCCTACCACCTCAGTCTCTCCTTGTGCCTCTTTCCACACACGTCTTTTAACTCCAATGAACTACGTGCAGCTCCCAGGCTCTCATGATGCTGAGCCTGGAATGTGCTGTCTCCACTGTCAAGAGGCCCTTCTCTATTCTCCACCGGGCCAGCCACTCCTCTCCTTCAGATTCGACCCAGGCATATTTCCCGCAAGAAGCACTTCCATAGCTCCTCCCTCCTTCCCCTACTGGGTAATGCCATATCATCCAATATCAACCTCTGAGATAAAAGTTATTAGACTGTATTAATATTTCCAATTTACTTACCACTCCTTCCCTTTTAAGTTTCCTAAAGGTTGGTCATAATAAGCTCTAAAGAGGTATTTTCCTGAGTAAATAAGTAACTGAATGCGTTGCTTCACATTCTTTGGAGCACTCAGACCCAGCTCTAGGTCGTCCTGTATGGAAAATGCTCTGTGCACGAAGATGCTCTTCACAGCAGTTAATGACCAAAAAGCCAAACAATAATTATAGAAAACGGAATACAGAGATGAGGCCCACGTCCCCAATCTGATCACGTGCAGGCTGACTTTCCTGTCTGTCTTCCAGACTGTCAGCCTCTCCAGTGTAGCGGTATACGCCCTACTGGTCCCACTGATACTATACAACCTCACCCGGCCATGTAGGTGGGACAAACGCCTCCTGTCCATCTATGAGATGCTCCCAGAATGCAAAATACTAAATGCAGAATATAATTATAGAAAACAGAATACAGTCATAACTGGTATATTCAACAGCCATTTAAAATCATGTTTATAAAGAAGTCATAGTAACACCATGAAATGACTATATAACAATGCTAACTGAATAAACAAGGAAACATTCAGTATGATCTAACTGATGTAAAAATGCGTGAAAATATTAAACACACATATTAACATGTTAAAAGTGGTTCACTCCCATGTGGCAGCATTACAGACTATTTCTATCTTCTTTGTACTGTATTTTTTTAAATTTTCTAAAATGTGCATAAAATGTTTTATAATTATTAAGGAAATGTTTCTAAGAAAGAAGAAACAACACACATTTTTCTGCAAATTCCACTGAAATCCACTGGCCAGAGCAGCCTGCAAACTAAAGCAATGGATGGCACTTTCTCTCTGAGATGTACTAGCATCAGAAGTTACCTAAATTCTCGAGGGACAAGAATCAGGATCAGCCTAAAGCTGATTCCTACGAGGTGGAGGTCAGTCATACCTCCACTCCCCAAATTTTTACCAATTCTAACAGCAGCGGTCCACCACGGCACTCTCTACTTCTCTGCTAGGTTCAATGATTCATTGCCATAGCTACACAGAACTCAAAGACCATACTCACAGTTACGTGGTTTATTAGGGAAGTAACAGGCCTCTCAGCTCCTCTCAGCCATGCCCACAGGCAGGCAGTGCTTCTCAGCCGGGCTAGCAGGCCCTTCTCTTGGCCATCCTAGCCTCCTCTTAGCCTCTGCCCTACTCGGGCAAATGTTACGCTCTTTAGCTCTGCTCACAAGGGCCCAGAGGCACCCTACTCCACCACCAAGCCTTCTGACCAAAGGCCACTCTTGCTCCACGGCCAGGATGCCCACTACAGCCATCTCACGCCAGTCGCCTGGTTCCCACTGTCTCACACTGTCTCCAGTATTATAGCTCTGTCTCCTTGATCTAAGAAGTTCTCAGCACAAGGACCCTGCGTCTAAAGGACACATTCCACTCTAGGCTCTTCTCCTTGACAGTAGTGAGGTCCCCCTCAACCCCTGTTGGGATTGGCCCTTTTATAAGCCTACTCCTCCCACCAAGACCGCGAACTGACCAATTCCCTCAGTAGGCCACAGTCACCTAATATGCACAGTAATCGACCAATACCCACAAGGGTTTTACGCACCTTATTTGCATAGTAAACTGTCCAATCCCTGCAAGGTTGTGGCCTAGCAAATCATCTTGGCAGAAGTACAAAGCCAGGGCCAAAAAGGCCAAGTATAAAGAGAAACCTGTTGCACTGCACCCTCCTACAAGATACGATACATATATACAAAAAGGAATAATGTCAATAAAGTCAGAATCCCAACGCCTGCAAGGGCAAAATATAGCTGAACAACAAATAAATAATACAGTTAGCAAATAAGATTCTTTTTTTTAAAAAAAAAAAAAAAAAAGAGAGAGAAACTCTCTTCAGACTCCAAGGTAAAGTGCCAGTCTATATTATCAAAGGTGTGAGTGTGGGAATTTTGTGGGCTGAAAACATTCCTAGCTTTTTCCATAAATGAACCTATATGGCTGCCTTTGGTATGTTTATGGATGCATACTGGCACCATGAATAGTTGCCTCTATTAAAACCCAGGAGGAGCCACATGTTTTGTTAATGTATTTCACCACAATAATTTTTTTTTTTATTGTACTTCAGGGAAGGCTTACAGAACAAATAGTTTCTCATGAAACAGTAGTA